TTTGGTGTGATTTTCATCACCAACCTTTCCTTATTCTGCTCCATTTAGTCCTCCTTTCCTGATTTCCCTCTTTCTTATTCATCCCTCTCTCTCTTCCTTTCTTCACATTTTAATCCAATTTTTTATCATTTGTATGTTTTTGAATCTTTTTTTAAATCTTTGTATTTATTTATTTTTGTAATGTGCCTCTTGGTTTTGATCTTGAGAGGTGCTATATAAAAGATCGTTTGTTCTTCTTTTTCTTTTTCTCTTCTTCTTCTTCTTCTTCTTCTTCCCACTGCAGTAGAAAAATAGCTTAAATGTATAATTTCACCTTCTCTTTCTTCTTCTTCCTCCTCCTCCTTTTCTTCTTTTTGTTCCTCTTCTTCTGCTTCTGCTTCTTCATCTTCCTCTTCCTCTTTTTCTTCTTCTTCTTCCCACTGAAGTAGAAAAACGAGCTCTAATGTTAAAGTTTTTGAGTACTTTAAGTGTATCAAGTATTTATACTAGTTGGTGAGTACACCTAATTCTGCGTACTGTGGAGGATATTCCAGAAGCGTTGAACTCAAGCCTCACAAAGCCATCAGAATTACTGACAAAGAACACGTTTTAAGGACATTTTAAATGGAAAATCCTGACAAAAGATAGAAGTATTAATTCCTGCATATCTCATATGTGTGGATGGTCTCCATGGCTCCAAGGCCCATCATTCTAACCTTCCTTCTCACTCTTTCTCTCTCGTCTTCCTCAGGAGAACAACCAATCCAGCGGGTGAGTGGGGAATCGATGCCCTGATATGAGATTCAGCCTAATGAGGATCAGAAACATCTTAATAAAGACCCATAATCCACCACTTAATCCCTCATTACAGAATCATCTGCATTCTCTGGTCCTGCTCTGTACCGCCGCAGTGACGGCACATCCAGGTCCATTGTTCTGCCTCTCCTCATCCTTTCACCCACGACTCCCCTCGGTGTCGGTTATATTTGATCTGCTCTCATTAGACTTTCAGACGAGACGAGCAGAAGGGCCTGAAAATGGTGCTTTTGTGTGTCCTTCTATACTATCTCTTGTCTGAAATGGAAAACGAGACATATGTTTAATGAGGAGGGGATGGACTGGGACCTGACGTCCGACAGATAGGGGGTGTGTTGTGACCGAGGCCATTAAAAGCGGCACACACTTCCCAGGAAGCGTCCAAGTTAGTAATTATGGCTTTTGGGGGCGGGAATGACTCTGAAGTGGGAAGGACGGATTAAAGCTGAGCTGCAGACTGGATGTTTAGTTTTCTGCAACTTAAAACCAAAAAGTCACCAAGATTTGACTCCAGTTTTGCACACGTTTGCTTTTTTTAAAAACTTTTCTAAATCTGTTTTGTTTGTAATTTTATGAAGACATTACCTTCTGAAGACCAAGTTCACAGAGAACAGTGTCTTCCTTGTTATTTTTGAACTATGACTGGTCACTCTGAGTTTACCCGCAGGCCAACAGTGACGGTAGTCCTCTAACCCTGGTTCCTGCGTTAGCTGCCGATAGAGAATAGACGAGAAAATGCTTGGATTAAAAAAACCATACATCACCAAGAACCAGCTGTCATGGACTCACCCATCTCGGCTGTTGTTGATTTGGCGTCACAGCAGGTCTTGCATAATAGAAGCTAACATTAGCATTAGCAACTCCACAACACAGCAGAACTCCTCAAGGCTTGTGATATTTGTGGAGATAGAACATCAGCGTTGCAGAGCAAACCGAGTCAGTGGTTGAGTCCTGTTGCTGTTAGCCAATCAGGGAATAGATGTCCTAATGTTTATGTTTATTTATTTAGCAGACGCTTTTATCCAAAGCAACTTACAGTTTATAACCTACAGGGCATGTTGCGATCTGTGGGGGAAACCGGAGTACCCGGAGGAAACCCACGCATGCATGGGGAGAACACGCAACTCCACGCAGAATGGCCGCAGCCGAGTTTCGAACCTGCAACCTTCGTGCTGCGAGGCAACAGTGCTAACCACTGCGCCACCATGCAGGATGCGTGTCAGGAAATAAGACTCAAAATCCTTTCATCTGAAGCTTAACTCTGATCAGGCTCACTTCTAGTTCCTGAAACAGGCGCACCAGAGCTTTTATCCCCAGAGAACGACTTAAGGCATTAGTTCCTATTGAGACCACAACACTGACAGGGATGCAAAGCAAACAGAGTCAGTGATTGAGTTTCACCGCTTTTAGCAGGATGTTAAGATAGGCGAGACGTCTAAATATCAGGAAATAATTTCTGCTCCCTTCTCCTCTGGTTCTCGTTTCTGAAAGAGGAATTTGAGAGCCACAGAGATCGAGTCCCAAGGCATTATTTATTCTAGAGACCACTGCAGATGTGTTGAAAAGAATTGGTGAACTTTGTCTTTAAATGCAATTTCAGCTATTTTGAAGTTTGTTTCCTTGTAAAAAATGGAAATGTACTATTTTACCTGTTCTACACAGAACAGCCTCTGTCCAGAGAAATGGTATTTACGCCCAACAGAACCGATTTGAAGGTTTTAGGAAAGTCCTACGTGCTTTGGTCCCTGGATGCTCTGTAAGTAATGTTTTGCTGCTGATGATGATGATGATGTTTGTGGCTGTAAACAACTATAATCTCCATTAAAATGACTTGTAAAAAGTTGGACATCTGTTTTAAGATGGCATTGGGGCGACGGAGGCACAGGAGTTTAGTGCTCACCCCCTAATCGAAAGGTTGCAGGTTCGAGCCCCGCTCAGTTTGTCACTGTCATTGTGTCCTTGGGCAAGACACTTAACCTCCCTTGCCTGCTGGTGGTGGTCAGAGGGACCGGTGGCGCCTGTGTACGGCAGACTCGCCTCTGTCAGTGTGCCCCAGGACAGCTGTGGCTTCATCACAGCTCATCCCCACCAGCATGTGAATGTGTGTGTGAATGAGTGAATGTGTTGTAAAGCACCTTGGGGGGTTCCAGGACTAGAAGGTGCTATATTAAATACAGGCCATTTACCAATACACATTTGGTGGTGGCTTTGCTCAACTAGCTGTTAGCTCATCAATCTTTAAGGATGTAAAAGCTCTTCACACTGATGTCATTCAGGGAATTTTCTACGGCAACTGTCGCTTCTAAAAGAAAAATAAGAATTCTTTAAATTAAGTCTGGTAAAGCAGCTTGCTAATTATAAAAAACATATTCAGACATACTGTAATTTAGTCAAAGTGGGTTAAAATAGAATTATAAGTCAAGAGAAAAGGAGAAATCTCTTTCCTTTAAGAGAAGCTGTGAGATGATCCAGAGGAGGTTTGGATAATTGGCCCAATGAAGGTATAAAGACAGCTGATTTTCATCGTGTTCCAGCCCTGCTTCATCATTACTCTGTGTAGGGTGAGTAGGAGGTAGAGGGGGATAAAACGAAACAAATAAAACTCATTAAAGGTGCTAGTGCGGCTACAAATCCCCCTCTCAAAGTGCTGAAGCACTACAGACATCATTAGCTGTGGTGAACGGAGCCATCGTTATTCTGGCTGGATATGAGCACAGATCAAAGCGCGCTACAGTTCGCTGTCTTTTTACCTGAGGCGGGATTCACTAAATCTGAGCTCCTTTTCTTTTCGGCAGGTTTCCATTTCTTGTCTGCCTGATTTGGCCTGTAGAATAAATAAATAAATAAATAACCATTTTCTTCAATAATGCACTCTGGTCATTTTCTCTCTTCTTATAAAGTGGAGTTTAATTCATTTTTCATGTAACAAAATAGACAAAAGATCTTCTGCAATTTTACTGAAGAAACTTTCTAAATCAAAAGCTAACAACTTTAGCACGACCACAACAAATACCCCCCCCCCACACACACACACGTTTATTTTTATATCCATATTAGGACTTTGTATTGACTTCCATTCATTTTAGTAACTGCATCAGCCCAAACCCTTGCCCTGACCCGAACCATCACCGGTGTATTTCTAAACCTAACTGTAACAAAAATAGACATGTTACTGTACTTCACACCTTACCTCTAAAGCCCACCCCTAAGCCTTAAACAGGGGGTCCACCGCATCAGGACAGGGTTTTGGTCCTAATAAAACCTGTCGGTCTTCAGAAGATTAGTGAATATGCCAGTTTTGGTGCTAAGTAGGATACTTAAACAAGTCCACACACACACACACACACACACACACACACACACACACACACACACACACACACACACACACACACACACACACACACACACACACACACACACACACACACACACACACACACACACACAGAACATTGCTCTTCCCTGGGGCAGCCAGCAATTTTCTAGGGGTGGCCATCAGTGCTCCAGTCTCGTCCCCACTGACCTGATCTGTCGGATCCAGTTAGTGAAATGGTTTTGCTTAAGAATGATGGCCTGAGTGCCCTGACAACTTGATCTCTTTTGTGTAAATCAGTCCATCTATTCCTGCTCGAATGAGCTGTTTACACTGGAAACAGAGGCAGGTACAGCGGTTTTTCTCCTCAGGGCAGCTCAGCGCGGTAACTGCTATCAGACAAGGAGACTGAGAGCAAACATGTAGCAACAAACTCACTGTTAACTAAACGGTTAATATGTGATAGCATCTGCAGCTAACTCCAGACAGCAGACGCTCACAGGCCTCTGGGTTTGGTGTTGCAGATGGAAAGAGGGACGTAAAACAGTCACCCACAATGCTCCACGTCTTTAAAGATGAAAGTGTTTTCTGTCTGTTCAGATCTTAACAGAAAGGCTGCTGTAATATTCTGCAGTTCATTACCAAATAACATTAATAGAATAGATAAATAATTTGTATGAACTTAAAGAGCAAGTCACCCCAAATCAACTTATTTTCCTGATAAATGATATAAATGTGTGTCGAATCGTGCTGCAGACACGTGTAGTCAATAGTTTAGCACTTTAGTGCATTTTTGTTCAAATTTAAACATTCTGCCTAAAACTGTCAGTGTTGTGCCGTTGTCAGGTAAAAACTCTGCACTGTGTTTGAATTTAAATGTTTATGTGCTTAGAAGACGCTTTTACCCAAAGCGACTTACAATTTTTTTATTTTTATTTTTTACCTATAGGGCATGTTGTGATCTGTGGGGGAAACCGGAGTACCCGGAGAAAACCCACGCATGCATGGGGAGAACACGCAACTCCACGCAGAAAGGCCGCAGCCGAGTTTCGAACCTGCGACCTTCGTGCTGCGAGGCAACAGTGCTAACCACTGCGCCACCATGCAGCCCATGGTGGCGCAGCCCATAAATCAGCCATCGCTACTGGCTAAGAGGTACCCTAGAATGTTAGCTGGTACCATATGATGTCACAATGTTGTTGTGAGCTTGTGTGTGTGTGTGTGTGTGTGTGTGTGTGTGTGTGTGTGTGTGTGTGTGTGTTAGCAGCTCCGCCCTCTCGGTCTGCTAGGCAACAGCATTTGTTGCATTTTTCAAACAGGAAGTGGGAGTGGAGTAATACTCTGGTAGGGGGTGACTTGCTCTTGTCAAATGTGGAGAACAAATTAGTTTAAACTTTATTTTTCATTCTTATTAACAACGTTCTAACATGGTATAGTGTGAGGGATCAAGCCAAATGAGTGGAGGAACACAGGCAATTTCCAAAAATAGACTCTTTAATTTCCTTTTTGTTTTAAAATCTCCTCACAAAAAAGCACAAGCTCATAAAAGAGGTCAAACAAACAAACTGAAACTCAGTAAACTTCTAACTTAACATACTGACTGACTGAAACCATAACCGACCTAACAAACAAAGACACACAAGGGTATATATACACACTGGCTGATCAGACCATATGAACAATAGGGTTTACTAGACAAACATTTACTAACTAAAACTAAAACCACAAATCAGTACAGTCAGATTGTTAATAAATCTAAACATCCTAACCCATAAACCTAACCATTTCACTTCAAACTTAAATTAATTAACAAAAGACAAAATAATAAACTAAAGGAAGTTCTTCAGTCCCCTCTTCAGGGAGCTATTGGTTTGGCCCCATCAGCTCCTCCTGTATTTAGCTGACAGAACCCCTTCACCACTGTTTGCCTGTCCCATCTCAGGAAGCAGGAAGTGGAGAACCTCAGCACCGGTAAGAGAAAACAAATCATCTTAAATTGAACAAATGAAAGGCATAAAATACAGCAGTTAACTAAATGTGCGTGCTTACAATTAGAACTAATGCATTTAAGCCATCTAAACAATAAATCCAAAGAAATATAAACATACAAACTGCAATCATAAAAGTGCAAGAGTGTACTTAACGTTCACCGTTGTGTGGACATGGATGTGGCCATCACATATAGCTATGAATATATTGTGGAGACAAAAAAGATGAAAAAAAGAATAAATAATAGAAGAGTTCACTCACATTTGTCTAAAAACCTCCACCATTAACACGTTTCAGACCAAAAGCAACTATAGGACCATCCGGTTGTTTTTGTTATTGAACTGCCGCAGTTCTGCTCTTCCTTGGGTCTTCCACTTATTACACACTCCGGTATTTAACAACAGAACACCACTGGTGTGAGAAGTTCTCAGCTTAATAATATCAGAGAAGGAGAAACAGTCGGCTGCTACCACAAACTACCAGAGTCTCAAAAACACCATTTGAAGTTATGGACAGCAAAAGTTGTTTAGACCAAGAAAACGGCGATTGGCTTTTAGCCCTATCTCGTTTCCTCCGGTAATGTGGGTTTCTGGTTCTGGTGGACACAGATCCAAGGACGATCCCCAATGGGAGGGGTCAATGTTCCGTGACGGTGTTTGCGTTCTAAAGCTGGTTTGCAGATTTGCTATAACATCTTTAATAGAGGAGGTAGAGGTTGTCCAACAATCGGAACGTTGCTAGGTCAATTCGGAGTTCTGCTGTTGTGTCATTGAGCAAGGCACTTCACTCCCCTTGCCTGCTGGTGGTGGTCGGAGGGACCGGTGGTGCCTGTGCTCGGTAGCCATGCCTCTGTCAGTGTGCCCCAGCGCGGCTGTGGCTACAGTGTAGCTCATCACCATCAGTGTGTGAACGTGTGTGTGAACGAATGAATGCTTCACTGTAGTATAAAGTGCTTTGGAGTCCTCTGACTCAGAAAGGTTCTGTAGTACATGTGCAGGTCCTTTATCATTTATCAGTGAAACACGTAGTGAACTAAGATCATTTTGGGTTTTTAAACGTATTTTTTTACATCTTAAACATTGAGTTGCACATAAGTTCATAATTTCATTTACCGGTAAGTGAAGCTGTGTTGCATCAGTGAAAACGTTTTTGACAGATTGTGAAAGTGGCTCATTTTAATATGTGAAGGAATCATGCAAAATACATTATTTTCTTTCCCCTAAGTGACAAACGGGAAAAAAGAGAACTACACTTTAACTTCTTTACTCTTCTAAATCAAATTTTATGAGTAAAAGTGCAAAAATTCCTGGTTTTGACCCCCACCTGACTTCAAATCGGTTTCCTGTGCCTCAGCTCCATCTCCTTCTTGATTTCCAGCTGTTTTATAAGGAATGTCAGCTCCGGCGCTGTGCATTTTCCCTCCTGGCCTCCTACATGTTGTTGCAGTTGGAAGCCCTGGAGAGAAACAATCACTGGAGCAACACCAAATGCCCAGGAAGAGGTGAATGGAGACTGGATGTGGCAGTAATGGGACAGAGCTGATACTGTTGTGTCCTATTGTGTGTACTACCCCCCCGTCCCTCCGGATTGTACACCGTGTACCTTACATGCAGTGGGGCTGTGTGAGGTCAGCAGGTGGACTTTGATCTGACTTTTTCGGGTCAACAAAAAGCATTTATTTAAATTAAAGTGTTAAAAATCAAGTTAACAGGTAAAACAATCTAGAACCTAGTTTAAAATGTTGTTAAACATAATCTCTTGATGTATAGATTTTTTTGCTTTGAAGATGAACAAAATGTAAAAGAAATGTTCTGCTTTTAAATTATTTTTCAGTCACATTCATTTTAGATTTCATTAGCATTTTTACTCCTTGTTTGACTCAGGATCTGGTCTGTTTGGACCACCTGCGTTGGGCTAGGCATTAAATTACCTGGAAATCCCCTTTTTTTACGGCTTCCCCTGTTTCTTATCTCTAACAGGAAACGCAAAAAGAGACAATATCCAATGAGAAAGCAGTATTTTGAAAATGGTGTTGGGTGTCTATTTCATCCTGGGCCTCCATATTCTCTTGGTTTTCCTCAAGCAAGAAGCTGAACGACTTCAGGGAATTCTTGATGACCCTGGGAGTCCGTTTCACTGGATTGACCTCTGACCTTTTCCGCATTAGCTGTTAAGCTTGTTGAGAAGGTAAACACTAAACGCCAACAGTTGGGTAAATGTGCTTTGAAGTTATTTTGTTTTTTAAGCAGAAATGGAACTTTTGTATTCTACGGCGTTAGAAGATTAAACTGAAAAGGGAAAGGGAGTTTGGTAGCTGGATGTTTCCTTTAAGAATTTAGAGAAACTTCAGCTTTTCCCTCTGAAAACTCAGCAGATCTTCAACTTTGTGGCGTTTGTTTATTCTCTCCGGGAAAACTTTCACCTTAACTTTTTTGAACGCCGTGGATTCAACCTCAGGCGTTTGGTACAAAGATATTAATGAGCCCCCGCTGACCCAAATGGACTCGTGACCCCTGCCCTGAGCCGGAGCAGAACCTTTATTATAACAAGCAGATCAGTTCCATGTGGCCATTTCAAGGGAAAGGACTTCTAAAGTGATTTAATTATAAGTTCATCTACACCTATGAGTTATAAAGTTCACTCAGGTCAGCTAACTAAGTTTGACTAGGTGTTGCCATACTGCCCTCCATAACTCCCATTAACATTACCAGTCTCTGAAGTGGGTCCTGTTGTTTACACAGCTGCAAACGTACCCAGGATGCACCTTGCTGCCGCCCACAATAACCCAGCAGCTGGAGGGTGAGGCATCAATCTTTCTAACATCTAACTTCCTGTCAGGGATTTTCTAATTAAAACATTTTAGATAAAAAATAAAAGCTCCAGTTTTCAGCAGCAGGCTTAGGTTTAAACAGCTAATCTCCCATTTTTCTTAGATTTTATTTTATTTTTTTTTTACTTTTTGCTTTGCTCTATTACTGTAAGCAGGCTGTGGTTACTTTTCAGGTTTTAATTCAATGAAATAAGCTAAATAAAAAAGGTCTTACCTCTAAACTGTCTAAAATGCCTTAATTAAAGGCATTGGTATGGGTCAAACCACTGGTTCTCCATGTCTTGCGTTAGTCTAATGAATGAAATTTGTCTTTTGACCTAAATCACAGTTTTTAAAAGGTAAAATTATTAACAGGGCGATGAAATTTGAAGAATTACACGTTATTTTGTATTTTTCCTTTATGTCTTGCAAAATATGAACAATTGAAAATTTTCTGTAAAAGTACATTTCTAATGATGCAATGTGGCAGGGGTGAGTAATTGTGTCTACCACATGCCAAATGTTGATGGCATCAACACGGCTGACACATCTGCCCTTCAATACTTATCGTGACCAGAGGGGGGCAGTGGGGTCATTACTCACTGCTTCACACACAGTTCTTCTGTAAAGAAAAGTCTCCAAAATTCTCCCACAAAGCCAATCATCTGAAACAAACCCGGACAAGTCGGCCAAACCCCGTTCCTTTGTCGACGACAGATCTGAGGTGCTGGCAGGATCCGGCTCTTTGCTCTGGCGTCATTATTTAGGCGTCAGAGAGGCACTGCCCTCTAGGCACAAGCTTTTGTTTGGGCCTTCACCTTCTGCTCCAGCTTTGGCTCGGAGAGTCAGACTTGTGCGATTGTGCAGTGAGGGACAACGGTAGTGGCAGGGGCAGGAGTTCAGAGATCTGTAGATCAGCTGAGGGGATGGATGGAGCTAAGATGTGCAGATCAGAGGATGAGCATCCCTCTGTGTAACAGGTGTTACAGGAAGAGGATGAGCATCCTTCTGTGTAACAGGTGTTACAGGAATTTCCCAAAGAGCCAACAGAGGAGACTTCTTCACGCTGCAGTTTCTACTTAATCCATCTGGAAAAATATGAGATTAGGCTCTTAATCTGCTTATGTTACAGCAGACATTTACAAAATCCTGAGGGCTGCATCCAGTTTGTGTCATTAAGCATGTGCAAAAGCAGAGGTTACACTAAATGGAATGCAGCCTATTAGCAGCATCAAGAGTTGCCTTACAACACCTGATGGTCTACCTCTCCTTATAATAATTTATTGCATCATATAATTTGGTATTGATTTTTGCACAACACGAGAGGACAGACAAGAAACAACTCTAAACATAAAAACACGGCAGTTCCTTAATTCAAGACCCCTAAACTTAAGTCTGTTTAAACCAGACTGGGTTTTGTTTGATCTAATCACAGTTTTCATCCAAAATCTAATAACATTTTCTTTTGAATGGCTTGATTATAAAAAAACATTCTTTCTCATTAACTCGCTGGTTCTTCTCTGAAAACGATTACTGTGAATGTTTTGATGCATTTTGTTACTAAATAAACAACTAGCTTTATTTGTTTGTTTCTGAATGACTAATTAAGGTGGAGAAGTCTCCAGTATTATCTTACTGTTTTTGATAGTAAGTAAAAGTCTTAATTTTGATGCTAGAAGGACATCTCAGAGGATCTGACGTCACTTCCTGTTTGTTAATCCCGTTCTTCCCTAAACATCCAGGATGTCCTTGCTTAATTTGTTGTGCTTCCATCGCCTCCTGTTTAGGTTTCCTTTGTGTGTGTGTGTGTGTGTGTGTGTGTGTGTGTGTGTGTGTGTGTGCGTGTGTGTGTCTAATTCCCAGTAACAAGCTGACACAAAGCGAGCTTATCAGTCAGGGACTTTAAACGTGTTTATTTACAGATCATTAGAAGCCTGAGTGAAAGCCTCCCACCGGTGTTCAAACCCACATCGGGTCCCTCGGTGCAGCGCCGAGGCCTCGCTCCTGCTGCCATGTTTGATGGGTGTCGACAGCCACTTAACTAGACTTCAAAGAGAAACGTTACAGATGTGTGACTGCTCACAGGGTCCTAATCTGCTCAGAGGAGGGGGCATCCAGTACGGATCTGTTTCATCCAGCCGCGCAGAGGCAGGGCTTTTCCTGATAGTCCTGCTGTAATACAGTGCATTAGTGAGATAAAGGCCTCTCCTCACAGCTGGCTCCTGCTGACAGACTCTTGGAAAGTCTGATCCTCTTCCTCCTCACTGCTGTAACTCCTCTACAGGTCTCTGTCTTTGCAGCCTCACGCTTTCCTGAGCTTCTTCTCCTTTTTTTCATCCTCAAAACTCTTTAATCATTTGGTTCATAGCTCTGCTCACCTCAGCTGCAAAGCTTCGGCCACTTCTCCAGAGTTTCCCAGACAAAATAAAAGAATTATCATCGGAAGGGTTTGTTCTCTATTTGGCTGCTTGGACTCACATTCAGATTTCTTTTATTTGAGCTTTAAAACTACAAAATTGTCCTTGACATTTACATTTTATTCCTCCTATGCTAGATGATGTTTTTCTCTGTTTTTGTCTCCTTATTTCCAACATGCCCATCATTAGACAGCAAGCTGTAATTCTTACTCTCAGCCTGATGAATCGGCTGCTGATTTTCTTTTGTCGTGACACGAAGACTGCAGCTTTCCAAAAGCCTTGCTTCTCTCTAGAACATCCACCACATCTGGGAGCTCCATGAAAGAAGCAGCAGACACCTACTGAAAGTGTTGATGTCTTCTTTGGTGGGTTCTGCTGTCAGAGAGACGGATCCTCTTGTCCTGAAGAACGAGCTGCTGAGCTCACTGAAGCACCGAAGGTCTCGCGGATCCCTGACTGGTTAAACTTCTCACACCGTCTTCTGTTACAATGATTTCTGGCGTTTAGAAAATAAATGTATGACAAATTTGGTTTTGCACAACTCACTCACACTTGTGTTGTCATCTAATAAGGTTTTAACCAGAAACAGTCTTATTTAAAATCAATTAGCTACTATTTTCCACTATTGTTAGGCTGGAAGCACAATCAACAGGGTTAGAGATGCATCTGCAGCCACGTGTTTTCCTCCCAGCCATTAAAAAGTAGTTTTAAATGAATTTAGATCAGCTCTTGCTCCATCTGACAGCAGGCAGAGAGAACAGGCTCAAGATTACATCCTGGAAACAGTAACATCTCCTACTTTGCAGATCTGAAGGTTAGCAGGAGCAAAGCTCTGAAGCTCTAGCATACTTAAGTGTATAAGGACAAAAAGTATAGCCTCTATGTATGCATGCAGACAACAGAAGCTCTCAAATAATAAATCACATCCTTGCATTGATGAGTGAATTATAAAAACACTTATTTTTATACAATTATGCTTATTTGGCCTAAATATGATGTGTAACCTCATTGTTTTCTACATTCTGTTTCCAGCCTGGCTGCCCTCTAAAATATCAAACTGATAAATGTCGTTCATGCTGCTCCAAAGGTTAAATGCTTTACATCATCAGTGTAATAATCAATACACATTATTGGTCATTGATCACCAAACGTCCAGCCAGAAGCCGCTCACGTGAGCTGTTAGGAACAACTCAGGGCTACATGAACCACGTCCCTCTGAGGCACCGTTAGCAACTCCCCCACAGAAAACCTCATCCAGGCTCATGTTGTTGGTGGAGATAAAACATCCAGAGTGCACGTCAGCGGTAGAGTCACGTTGTTATCCAATCCGAGGCAAGATGTCCAAATATCAGGAAAAAAGACTAAAACCCGCCGCCTGAACCTCAGCTGGTGTGGGTAACTGGTGGAAATGGTGCGCGGGTTTATTTACAAAGCATTCATTCCTACTAGAGACCACAGCAAATGTGTTGATTAAACAAGTGATCCACACCTTTAAATTGATCCTCAGACCTCATGTAGCTCGTCAAGACTTCATTACATGAACTGTGGGTCAAACTGAGCTAAAAATAAACTTCAGTCCATCAAAGCAGAGCAGTTACTCCTGGACAGTGTCATGGTCTGCATCCTACGTCTCCCTCATGTGCCTCCTTGTGTTCCTCATGTGTCTCCTTGTGTTCCTCATGTGTCTCCTTGTGTTCCTCATGTGTCTCCTTGTGTTCCTCATGTGTCTCCTTGTGTTCCTCATGTGTCTCCTTGTGTTCCTCATGTGTCTCCTTGTGTTCCTCATGTGTCTCCTTGTGTTCCTCATGTGTCTCCTTGTGTTCTCCATCCCTCTCTAGGTTTCCCTCGTGTGTCTCTTTGGGTGTGTCCGAATCCACAGGAAGGATGCTTATGAGCACGGGTCCTCGCCGGTCTAGCAAGGCCGGGTCATTGAAGACCACTAAAACGGAACCCAGCGGCTCTGAATTCGGACAGTCTAGCCTTCACCTCTACGGTGGCCCGTAGGTCCCGTCACAGCCGTGGCGGCAGCTACACGCAAAGGAAAATGCTAAAGCTAGCGAAAATGGAGCAGGAATATTAAGGAGCTAGAGCAGCTTCACGTCCATCAGCAGCGTTTGTTCACAACCGTTTTCAGGTAAAGTAACTTTGTTTATTGTAGAAGCTTTCAGGACTTACATGTTAACTTTAGATGGTTTCATGTATGTTTTAAGCTACAGAATGAACTTGTTAAACATACACAACACATTACTACAGAGTATTATCATGTAGGTAATTAATATAAACCAAATGCATTATAAATGTTGAATGCAGCAGGATGTTTTCTAATGTAAATTGGACCGTAGAACTTATTTTGCATCAAATGAGGGTAAAACGTTTTAAAAAACAGGCTTTTTAATAAAATAGTATTGAAGTGTTTTCAGTGTGCATTTGTTTATTCAACTTAAGCCTAATAATGATTAGATCTGTCTTAATGTAAATTCTCTGTAGTTTTCCCTGCTGCTTTTCTTTAAACTGAACAGAACCAGTGTACTGCAGGTTATTTGTTTGTTTTACATTTTTCAATAAAAAACCTTATTTAATCTATTACAGGTCAGCAAGCACTGTGCTGCACATCTGCCTCTGTGCTGGTGAAGTTGTGGGTCTGCAGGATGAGCGTGAGGAAGATGTGTGTGGAGGAGGTCAGTGGTGCTCTGTCCTGCAGGAGGTACCAGCAGACCACCACTACTGTTAACAGGCAAGTCATCCACAGAGACGTAACAGCCGTCGTCTGAGCCTCCTCTGTTTATTGGTCTCACCTGTGCACAACTCCCTAATCATCCAGCCCTTGTGTGCATAACCCTGTCTGCGTCTCAATGTGGTTGTTGGTTCATTGATCGTGTCGGCTTTGTTTCGTGCCTCTCTAGGTTTTCTTTTGGACTCACCATCTTTATAAAGATGTTTTATTTTGCATCCGCTCCTGCCTCGTGTCATTCTGGGTATCTGCGCTTTGGGTCCTACTCCTCCAACCCTCAGCATGACAGGCAGTCATAATCAATGCCAGGGACTAGGGTTTTGGTTAAAAAGCCAGCCAGGACATGATGCAGCGACATCGAGACCAGGGAGGAAGGGAGGTGAGATGAAGGGAAGGAGGTTGGGCTCTAGACTTCACATCTGCCACCACTTCTCCCTAGAGGCCTGCGAAGCATGGGAACTGTTCTCATCCCCACCCCCAGTGCTGTGACAGGTCCCTCCTCAGGCCTGGGACCTTCTGCGTCTGGTCGAGACCTCACCATTCCTGTTTGTTTCCCTTACACACTTCTGTCTTTGCTTTTTATAGCCCAGCATGTGTCTCCCCCTCAGTCTCTTCAGATGTTTGGAAACTCACGGCTTCAGATTTGTTAAGTAACTTTTGGGACTCATTTGAACTAAAAATATACAGACGGACTATAAAAAAACAGGTGATCAGTGACTGAAAACAAACTTTCGGTTCAGAACTCAGATTTTTAGTCTTGAAGAACAAATTCCCATGGATGTTTCCATCATTTCCGCTCCTCCCTCGGGCTTGGCTGTTCTTCCTTTAAATGGCCCTTCTGTGTGTCACAGGTCTTGCTGCCGTGTCATGGAAAACAAGAAGACAGCATGTCTCTTGGAAACACAGCTTTCAGAAAGCAGCAGCATTTGACACCCTGGGAATAAAACCAGCAGTTTATCCAGCTGATGGTAATCAGCAGCAAACGTCATCTTAGGGCTGAAATGTGAGACGACGTTTAAAACGATCTTATCGCAGGTAACGCAACTTTAAAATGAAAATAAATTATCAACGAACAAAAGTTCATCATAAAATCGACAACAGTTCTGTCATTTGCTCACATGACAGAAAAGTTTCATATTTGATGGCATTTTGGGGCAGCAGCAGCTCAACAGGTGGAGCGGGTTGTCCAGTTAACAGAAGGTTGCAGGTTCGATCCCGGCTCCAGACAGAGAATTCTGCTGTTGTGTCCTTGGGCAAGACACTTAACGCACCTTGCCTGCTGGTGGTGGTCAGAGGGACCGGTGACGCCAGTGCTCGGCAGCCTCGCCTCTGTCAGTGCGCCCCAGGGCAGCTGTGGCTACATCGTAGCTCATCACCATCAGTGTGTGAATGTGTGTGTGAATGGGTGAATGATACACTGTGGTGTAAAGCGCTTTGGAGTCCTGACTCTGAGAGGCGCTATACAAGTGCTGGTCATTTATCATTTAATTCACAGAAACATCAATTATTACTTTTGAGAAGGATTTCAGGGGATTGTTGGGGACAAATGTTGGAATCATTTCCTAAAATGAAAAATATGTACTTTACACAAATGTTTTATGTTTAATTAGAAAAAAATATATATTTGAAAAATAATTACTCAATACTGGCCTGCAGCAGTCACTGCGGGTTTGTGCTCGACATGCTGTTCAGTTTGACATCATGTTTAATCCTAAAAGAGTGTTATTGTGACTGCTCCAACTACAGAAGAGCAGAAGTGTTGATGCTAACCCCGACCCCGACCCGGACCCCGACCCGGACTGGTGGATAAGGTAAAATATCTCGGTCATATTCGGAGAAGTGATTTATCTGGTGATGAAGATATGAAGAGACAATGCAGTAAGTTATATATGCACGCAAATATTCTGACACGTAAAGTTAGTAAGTGCTCTGACGATGTCAAAGTGGCCCTATTTCGGACCTACACACAGCTCTTCTGTGGTGTAGTCATGGCGAATCAGCCGTGAGGAAATTACAAGCAGCTTATCAGGACGCTTTTAGAGTCCTGAGATGGACTTCTTCCAGTCAGATGTTTGATAGAAGTAATGTTCCTACATTTTATGCTGTTTTGAGGAATTATGTATAAATGTGTGTCGTCTGAATACGTCTAGTAGCACCACAGTCTAACCCAACATATAAGATTTTCATCCTCTCTGTTTAAACATTGGTATACTTGTTTGTACGTAAAGGGATGTTTATGCTTTTCCTTCTCTTCTTCAGTAATGGACTCAATTGTTATCTATAAATAAAGTTGAACTAACTAACTAACTAACTAACTAATAGTGTTTAAAAATTACCTTTAATTTTTGAATTTGCTAAATTTGAAATTAAAACCAATTCAAAATATATCAGGAAATCAACTTACATCAAATATTGGCCGACTTTCTTCCCTTAGAGGCATGACTATCGTGGAACATTTCACACACTGCTCCATTCATGTCTGCTATTAACACGTTCTCTCAGAGGGATTACACTGTTACGTATGATTTATACACATCTGCTGCAGACAAAACAGATGTTTGTGCCACTTTGTTTCATTGACTTCACAGTTTTGACAGCCAAGGTTACCACGCCACATTATCTCGTCTCCTTTAGCGTGCCTGGGGTAATACAGTCCTTAAATCCCTGCCAGCTGTTAACAATGGCACGCTGTGTGTAACGAACTCTATTAAAGCTGCGAGGGTGCACACATGCACACAGCTGTCGGCAGCTGCACCCAACGCCATCAGGAGCATGGCTACCTTCTCACACTTACAGCTAACAGCTTCACTTGTTTTTGTTGGAATAATTCAAACACAACACATCCAGATTACGCAGTTTTATTAGGAATATCTGTGAGGATAATAAAGTGCAGGATTATCTCACTCTCAGGAAGTTCGTCGTGGAAAAGCAGCGCTGGAGGAAGGCAGACGTATCGTCTGAGCAGACAGGGATGAGATGAAGCTGTTTCCACATCGATTGGGAAAATTCAGTTCAGTTGGTTTACATGTGTTGGTAAAAATGTGAAGGATGGGGGTAACATAAGAACTGGCGGTGTGACAACATAGCAGGAAATCAGGACAAGAGTCATCTTCACAAAATAAGACACAAAACCTGCATCTGTCTTCAACTCAAAGAATCATTCATACAGTAAATTAAGTTCATTTTGAGGGTTTTTGAGAAGCATTTGTTGACCTAATTCTGTGATTCCCTAAATGTTTTGCTTGTGACCCATCCAGACGTGCAACCCCAGAAATCTCTGATTTCACATTACAACATGCTTCTAAAACAAAATGATTCAGAACATAAAGAAAGCTGCTTATGTCCTCATATATCCATGTTAAGACAGTTTAGTTTTTATAAAAATTACACTAGAAACATTGCTTTAACACTTATTTTGTTATCTGGATTCCTTGTTCTGGGTGTCCCACAGGATCCAAACACCAACCCTTTATAGGGACATTGACCTAAATGACTGAAAGTTCACATGACATTATTTTGTTTTAATTTACTTCAGTTCAATTGAAACTTCGCTAATCCTGGAGGAAAATGATTTATAATTGCTGGCTTTGATGCTGCTTCTCCAACAAATGATATCAGATTAGATTGTCTTCTCCACAACGGAAGAATTTAACATCCTGCTGCCCAGTCTGCTGTCCAGGCGTTCGGTGACCAGACACCAACTGGCCAAATGTGGGACGGAGACTACTCAGAGTGGGACAACGTGAAGGTCCAATGAGAAAAAAACAAAACAAAACGTATATTCTGCTTTTTAGTCCTCACATCACTGTTACATGAAATGATTCATCTTATTATCATCATATATTTCTTATATCTTTTATTTCAGTTCTACATCACAGTTCCTCTCCAGTCACCACAACATAACTCTGCAGAGGCTCCGATCATTTTAATAATACAGATAGACCCCCAATAATAATACAAATGCAGGTTTAAGCAGCTTTTCAGAGTTTTCATTGAATGTTTTCCACAACAGAATGACTATTTTTAGGTTTATTTACTGTATGTTTGTTTTGAATGAATTTTCCACTAAAATCAGCATCTTATAGAAAAAATATCCATACTTTTTTGCTATTTTTTTCATAATTCAGAAGCAAAAGTTTTTTTAACTATCACAACAAATTTCTTCTAATTTTAGGTGAGATAATAAACATCTGAATCTAATCTCTAAAAAAAATCACATCTAATCTAATAAAAGTTTCTCAGAGTTACTTTCTGCCTCAAATGTCTGAGAATAAGTGATGAAAGCTTCCATTTATTCTCATTATTTCTTCTCTGTGCTTTAAGGGCTCAGCGTGTAGCCGGTATCTGAACCCGCAGCACCGTGTCTGTGTTAGAGCCTCCATTGTGTTTATCATGGACCTGTCTAATTACTGGAAAAGCTGCTTTTCACCTCTTCATGCCAGACTCCGCACCGAGACATGAAGAACGACTCAGAAACAACAAAGACTCTGTCGAGTGTCTCTGAACACGTTTAATTCACGAGTTTACAACATTTTCTCCTCCGTGCTCGCTCACGCGTGTTTTGGTGGTTTGGGCGCGCTCCACGCACGCTCCGGATCTGCGTTAAAGTCCCGCCTCGCTTGACTGTCAGCAACACACGGATTTCTCCACAGTTTCTTCTATAAGATTGAAACTCAAAACCGGAAACTGTCAATAATGCAGGGCATGAGTCGGGGCATGAGTCGAGGCATGAGTCTCTATTGTCGGGACACGTGAAGAGTCATGAAAATGCGGGACATCTGGTCACCCTATCCAGGCGAGCAAAGATGTATTTATAATCCACCACTTCTAGCAAATTTTTCTTTGAGTAAAAATAAAGTATTTGATTTTGAGTTTCTCACCATGGATTAAGTGTTTTAAACAATCCTGCATCTTCTTCTAAAATACACGATCATCTCCACTGTAAGCACCGCTGCTGTAAGCCGCCGTGGTAACGCAGCAACTCCAAAATAACCCTACTTCTGTAAACGCATGGCTTTTAGGCTTATACCCAGTCACGTTTTTGAAGGAACAGCATTGTAAGATGCACTAAAAATGTGCATAACAGACAAATGCTGTGATTTCTTGAAAATAGGTGTCATTTGGCGGTGCTTTGTCGTGTCCTAGCA